ACTATATTAAAATCTAATTTCTTGCACTAGTTTTTCACATTCAATTCAAATTTTGGACTTTGGTTTGGTATTGTTGCACATTAGACGACAACGATGATAATGTAGTTTCATTTTATTTTGGGTGCTTTTTTCCTTTTTTTTTATAAAAAAATTCGATTAACCTAAACCGGTTCTGTTTGGGTAAATCCATATTTTTATTAAGAAAATTAGTGCGGTTTCGGTTCGATTTTTCTTCCAGTTTCGGTGCGGTTCGATTTGAGTAAATCCACATTTTCGATTTTTGGTTTTTTTCGATTCGGTGCGGTGTTGCACCGAACCGTACCATGAGTATATAAGGAAATTTATTAAGGTAAATATAATATTTATTCTATATAAGATATAAGTATCTACCGTTACGTTACATAAAAATTTTATAATAAAAAATCATTAATTTTAAAAATATATTTTTAATTTAAAATTTTCAAATATTTGTAATTTTAAAAATACTAATAGAAATCCCGTGTATTACACGGGTAGGTGTTTGTTAAAAAAATATTATTAATTATAAAACTAATGAGAAGAATTATTTTAAATTTTATTTACTTTTGTAGTAATTTTTATAACTTATATCATATAACTAGTTGATATATAAATATATTTTTATAAACATAAAATATGGATGTTAAATCGAAGTTCATCAAAAGATGATTAATTCGGTATATTATATATGTAAAACTGATAAAAAAATACAAAAATTATTAAGTTTTAAATATTACCACAAATTTCGGACCTCATTATTTTAGTATTGAAAGTACTATCAAATCTACCTAAGCCTAACACCGAAACATGTAAGTTTGACACGTATAATCCCGAAGCATGCGAGTCTGCCACTTATTCAACAAGTTCTGAATTAATATATAGGGGAAGGAGATTAATAGTCATTAATAAAAGTCTAAATCAGTACTCGAACCTAACGACCAGAACATTTCGACACATTATGAATCACCAGAAATTAATTGTGTTGCATTTTTAAAGAGCTCTACAGACTTGACAGTTACCTACCAAAACCTCACAAGCTCCTCGCCGGAAAAATTTCAGGTCACAAATGGAAGAAACCCTCGAACTCTACGAAGTCCAGCATTCCGATCTCATTAGCCTGTCTTCCGACCAAAAGACGGCGACAATGGAGGAACCCCAGCGACTTGAAATAGTTTCTAAATCGATAATGCAAAACCTAGGGCGCGACGGGCCGGGCCTTCTGTCCATCGTCGGCGTCCCCAACGCCCAAATTCTAGCCCGAAAGCTCCTTCCCTTGGCCCGCAAGCTCGCCCTTCTGAACAATGATGAACGGAAAAAGATTCTCAAGGTATAAATTAAATCTCACACTCAAACACGACACATATGTATTATGTATATGTAAAATATTATTCCCAAGTCCTAACCATTTTTTTTCTCTGAACAAGTGATTAGGATCATAATCTGGGTAGCGATGTTTCGTTGAAAAATCTCGATCGAATCGTGTCGTCTTTCGCGACTCAACTGAAGTACGATCAAGATTCAAACTTTAAACCCAAGTGTGAAGAAAAACTTTCTGCCGGTATCAATGGTGGAGGAGAATTCGAGGATCTAGGGTTTGTATTTCGGGAATTAGGGTTTTGTATGATGCAATTGGGGCTTTCTCTTGCCCGAGCTTGTGATAAATCGATCGGTGGCCGTGAGCTCGAGCAAAGCTTGATACAATCCGGCTCGGCCAAAGGCCGTCTGATACACTATCATTCAGTTTCTGATAATACCGCCATTAAACAAGCAGCAAACAAGAAAAATCAAGCTAAAACTGGTAACTTGAACTTGTGGCAGCAATGGCATTACGATTATGGGATATTCACGATGCTGACTTCGCCTATGTTTATTCAGTCGAGCGGAAAAACGGAGCAGGAATGTGAATCTCCAAACGGGCACTCGTACTTGCAAATATTTCATCCGGACACCAAGCGTGTCCTTAAGGTAAAAGCCTCTGTTGGGAGTTTTCTTGTCCAAGTTGGTGAATCGGCAGATGTAATTTCAAAAGGAGCTCTTCGAGCCACGCTTCACAGTGTTTGCCGGCCGGTGGGGATGGAAGATTTGAGCCGGGAGACTTTTGTCGTGTTTTTACAGCCGGCTTGGAACAAGATTTTTTCACTTTCCGAGTATGAGTATCCTAATCCGCCGTTTGGGAATCGGGATTCGGAGTCGTGTGATGAGGAGGATAAGGCACTTATTAGTGCTGAGATTGTGCCTCCTCTGTTTTCACGGTTAAAGGATGGAATGACTTTTGCGGAATTCGCTAAAGAGACTACG